TGGGTTCTACAGGGTTGGCCACGGACAAGGGTGTTGAAGCTTGACAGGGCCCGACAAGGGTTTCTGCGGGTCGTATAGAGTGCTATGTTGAAGGCTTTGTGTTACTTCACAAAACGAGTGAGAAGCGTAGTACAACATGTGTTCTCGGATCCTTTTCATGGCAACACAGAGTAGGATCTTTAGTGCGAACTCAGGTTCTTGGAGTCAGGGCTCTCGGCTCGGGGTTTAGAACAACCGACTCTTACCATACCAGAACTCCCTAAAGCAGAAGTCAGGAAGATGCAACATGCCGATCCTGACGTCCTTGTGCTTGGAGGTTCATGGGTAGTTGTAAGTGGGGTTATAAGTCCCCTAATATGGTTTATAATTGTAGTTACCCTACTTATAACCCTACTTATAACTACCCATGAACCTCCAAGTGGTAAAGTATCTCAGCTCTAACGACCTGAAATCCATGCTCCAACTGACTGCTCGAGCTTCCCGTCACCCCAGGCGAGCTTGTGGACCTAAACCCCTGAACCCTGAATCCCTAAACCCCTAAACCCCTGAACCCTGAACCCCGAAACCTCTAAACCCCTCAACCCTGAACCCCTAAACCCTGAACCCTGAATCCCTAACCCCTAAACCCCTGGACCTAAACCCTGCATCCCTACACCCAGACACCATGGTAGGAGGAACCCACGCCTGATGCCTTCACCACGTTAGATTTTAGGGTTTTTAGGGTTTTGGGGGGTTTAGGGTTTAGGGTTGTAGGATTTTTTTTTGGGTTAAGGGTTTAGGGTTTTAGGGTTTTTTGGAGGTTAGGCTTTTGGGGTTCAGGGTTTAGGGTAGGCGAACCTCTCCGGTTCTAAGCAGCTATATGGGAATACTTACCCAAACAAGAACAGTAACTGTAACTCCGTATATAGAAACCCTACTTTCTACTATTCAAGCACTTACAACTCGCCCTCCCCTCGCAGGTTCCTCCTGCGTTTCGAGACGTGGGCATCGACGAGATCCGGCATCATGTCGGAACAGTCTTTCCTTGCAAACCCGAACCTGATGTTCGCTGCTTTCATCCCCAAACCGGAGTGGCTCCCTAAGCCCTAAACCCCGAACCCTAAACCCAGGGCCTATAGGGTTTTCAAACGTGTTCAAGAGTCATCTGCTTTTAATTCCCGGACCGTGAAGCTCGAACCATGGTGCTACCAAGACCAAAAAACCCTAAACCCTAAACCCTAAACCCCTAAACCCTAAACCCTAAACCCTAAACCCTAAACCCTAAACCCTAAACCCTAAACCCTAAGAGGACCCCTTACTGGAGCCCTCAAGGGCTTGGGATGCTTCGAGGGCTCGCTCCTTTAGGGTTTAGGGTTCAGGGTCTAGAGATACAGTTCAGGGTTTAGGGTTTAGAGTTTAGGGTTTAGGGTTCAGGGTTTAGGGTTTCGGGTTCAGGGTTTAGGGTTTGGGGTTAAGGGAACCCAAAACCCTGCAGCCCTAAACCCTAAACCCTATGGTTTAGAGATGAGGGTTCAGGGTTTAGGGTTCAGGGCTTAGGGGTTTAGCCCTAAAGCCCCAAACCCTATAAACCCTAAACTCCTAAACCCCTAAACCCTATAAACCCTACACCCTAAAGCCCGCAAACCCTAAAGCCCCTAAGCCCTAAAACCACTAAACCCCTAAACCCCTAAAGCCCCTAAACCCTAACCCTTAAACCCTATAATAAACCCTAAAGCCCCTCAACCCCTAAACCCCTAAACCCCTAAAACGTAAACCCTAAAGCCCTAAACCCCTAAAGCCCCTAATCCCCTGAAGCCCCTATACATCCTAAAGCCCCTCAACCCCTAAAGCCCCTAAAGCCCCTCAACCCCTAAAGCCCCTAAAGCCCAAACGCCCCTAATGAGGGTTGAGACGCGGTAGCCAGACTTGAAGGTCCAAGTACCTAATAATCACATACTCCCGCAAATAGTAGCCTACATAACTACTATGCGAAACCTAAGTACCCTGAACCCTAAACCCCTAAACCCTAGACCCTAAACCCCTAAACCCTAGACCCTAAACCCCTAAACCCCAGACCCTAAACCCTACCTGATTATTGGGTCCTTTGGACCTTTGGAGTCAGGCTTGAAGGAATCTGCCCGCGAAGACTGGAGCAGCTCGTGCCTTCGGCACAGGCGTTCCACCTGAAGCGCGCCCTGGCTTTGGGTTTAGGGAGGGGTTCAGGGTTTCAGGGTTTCAGGGTTTCAGGGTTTCAGGGTTTAGGTGCTTAGGGTTTAGGGGGGTGCCGGTGGGGGGGATTAGGGCCAGGCTGGGGTGGCTAAAAGGGTTTAGGGGCGGATGAAGGATTACCTGCAACCCAAAAAATTAACTCTGGGCCCTATAAATTGAAACCCAAACCTTACAAAATATCAGGGCATGACCTCGGCTCTTTCTTGCAGCGAATGGCCCCTGAAGCAGGTTTGTGATACCACAGGTGCTTTAGGGGTTTTTAGGGCTGCTGGCAGGTCGATGCTTGGAGGCTTCGTAGTATACCTGATTTTTTCAGTATTGGGTTTAGGGTTTGGGTTGAGGCCGAAGGGGTTAGGGCTTGCGGCCTGAAGCTTGGGGTTAAGAATCAGAATTTGGGTTTAGGGTTTATGTAGGGTTTAGGGAATAGGGTTTACGGTTTTGGGTTTGGGTTTGGGGTAACATGCAGTACCTCTTGGTTGACTCCCCGATTTTCTTCTATGGCTTAATCTTAAGGATAACATATAAAAGAGGAGGTACTGCACCGAAAACCCCCATACCGAGAGCTACAAACGCCCGATGCCCTGAACACCTAAATGCCCGCACTCCCGAAACTCTTCTTCCTCCTTCCGCACACCCTCAAAACGCTCCACCTAGCCGTTTGTGATGTTACGGTTGATGATATGAATCCTGCATTACCCAGAATAAGAAATATACCCATAATTCCCATAGTTTAGGGTCCTTAAGGGACTGCAGGATTTATATCATCAACCCTA